CCCCCCCCCGCCCCCCTTCTTCTGTTTGAAGTATCCTTGTTGGACACGTTTCTGCGACCTCTTCGACCTTTTGTTTGAGATGTGTATCAGTTACTTCCCGTTGAATGCCCAATGAAACAATTGTCTTGTCTGTTTGGACACACGTAAGCCTACCTCTTGATACAATTAGGACAATTGAGTTGACACGTCAATATGAGTTGTCCCACACTAATATTATTATAAAATTGTACTTTTGACTGAGAGAAGTCAACTCAAAATAATATAAAATATTAAAAAATAATACCTCTCACATTTTGTGAGCCTTGTTATTGTAGAATAACTTATAATTAGAAAGTGACGTACCTTTTTCAATACTACGTATAACCTCATTCTTATTTCGGGTTTTTAGTGAAGTGATAGAGTTCTAATACGGAGTGATATAATTAGAAAGGTGGATATTATCAATTTAGGTTTTTTTTTTTTTTCATGTTACTCATACTTCATTGCAGAGTATTTGTTATGTTTGAGTGTCGTTGTTGTGTCTGGTGTTTGTGTAGTGGTCCGTGCTTTATAGCTTGTTTCTCTACTGCTCTACTTATTTTGAATTTGTTTTCTCTTTTATGTCACAGTACTGTAACCTTTGTTCTGCCAAATTTTACTGGTCTGTCTTTAAAGTAGCAAATATACTAGAGATAGAGATACAATACCTATTGAAGAACTGTTTATTTTTAGAATTATATAAATTGTTGGATTTAATCGTTTATTTGTTTGATGAACATTAGGTTTTTAAATCCCTTTAATATTAAGTTTATTTGATGTGTAGATTAAATGTGCTACATTGTGGTGACAACCACTTTTTGATTCAGGATCTCCACAGGTAATTTCAATGCTAGGAAATTCCTATCCTAGTGCTGGAGGTCCACTTTCTCAAAGTCATGTTCAAACAGTAAATAACTTGAACTCTATGGGGATGCTGAATGATGTGAATTCCGGTGACAGTTCACCATTTGATATCAATGACTTCCCTCAACTGACCACTCATCCTAGTTCTGCTGGTGGGCCTCAAGGACAGTTGGGTGTGTGAAGGAAAATGTTGTTTTGCTTGATACACTGTTCACCTTCCACAAAAAAGAATAATGTAAACTATAAATTTCAGGTTCTTTACGAAAACAGGGTATTGGAGTTAGTCCCATTGTCCAACAAAACCAAGAGTTTAGTATTCAAAAGGAAGACTTCCCAGCTTTACCAGGATTCAAAGGTGTTGTATGTACATTGTTTTGTTAATATGTGTGAGCTTGTGCATTCAGTTGGAAATTTAGCCAGCTTAATCATATTATTTTCTTGTTTTGAAGATTACAAGAACGAAAGCCTTATTTCACTAGGTGAAGTTGGCTCTATGAATCACACAATGCCATCTATCTTGATTATAGATCAAATCTTCAGAGATATTATTCACCATGAGATCTCTCAACAAATTTTCCTAATGTCCTTTTATGTCACCTTCCCTTCTTCATATGACTAAAAACCACGCAATGTACATTCCCTCTTGGTGCTTTCAGTGACCTTTTTTTAACCTGTCCAAACATCCTGTACCAATTTTCGGTCATCTTTCCCTCAATTGATGTCATAAAATTATTTGGACTGTCATTTTGTTTCCTGTATTTGTTGTATGACCTCATATTCATTTTTTAACATTCTCATTTCTTCTACCCATCTTTTTCTCGGCTCCTTAGAGTCCAAATTTATTATCAGAGTACGGGTAGATGAATTGTGATTCATGTATAATGAAATCTATGCTGCTTCTTGTGGAAGTGCTTCTTGATGTTTGCATGTACATTTACTTTTTGTGTAGCATCACTAGGGTTTTGCACGAGGTTCTTATCATTGTGCATTCTGCATCCATGTTTTGTTCTAATGTTTTTCTGATTGATTTTTATAGGAATAAGGGCACTTTTCTTTGTGTTTGTTATGTGTGTGACCAGTCATACATTTAGTGAGGATGCTTTAATGGTAGTTGTTTGTATGTGATGACATATTCTGATGATATCTTTAAGTTTGCACTTGTGAATCTTTGATGGCTTGTTGGGAATCACGTCTTAGTAGTGTTCTGTGTGTGATGTCATATTCTAATTATTTTTGGTCAACTTTGTTTATGGAACTGAGAACTGTAATTGATTAGAGGGTAGTCAGTTCTTCATCATTTGTTTTTGACCATGGTATCTGCACATAGGTGGTAATGCCGATTTTGCAATGGATATGTACCAGAAAGAACAACTTCATGATAACACTGTGTCAATGATGCAATCTCAGCATTTCTCTGTGAGTTTTATGTTGCAAAAATTGAGTTATCTTCTCCTTATACATTTCCGTGTGTTTATAGAAATATTACTGGATCAAAATACATTCTCAATCTCAATTGCCTTTAATCTGCAGCAGATGGGGCGATCTTCTGGTTTCAGTTTGGGGGGATCATATCCATCACATCGCACACAGCAGCATACCCCTTCAGTCACTAGTAATGGTGTCTCCTTTTCATCTGTAAACAGTCAAGACCTCCATTTGCATGGAACAGATATGTTTCCATCTTCACACTCAACTTATCATTCCCAGGTCAGTTAATTTTCTACTTATAAAAATGAGGCACGTGCTTTGTGTGGCAATGCACTGAAACACTGAAATGAGAGTAAGTGCCCATTTGAACTAAAGTCAGTATCTCCACCAAAGCAAGTTCCTGACATTCTTATGACTCAATGGTTTTTGGTTTAGACCAGTGGACCTCCTGGCATTGGACTAAGGCCTTTAAATTCTCCAAATACGGGTATGGGTTCATATGACCAACTTATTCAGCAGTATCAACAGCAGCAGAACCAGTCGCAATTCCGCCTTCAGCAAATGTCAGCCGCAAATCAGTCTTTTAGGGATCAGGGCATGAAGTCCATGCAAAGTGCACAATCTAGTTCAGATCCATTTGGTGCACTTGGCTTGTTCAGTGTAGTCCATATAAGTGATCCTGACCTGAAATATCTTGCTCATGGGATTGATCTCACAACGCTTGGGTTGAATTTGAATTCATCAGAAAATCTTTACAAGACTTTTCGATCACCATGGTCTGATGAACCAGCCAAGGGTGATCCAGAGTTCAGTGTGCTACAATGTTATTATGCTAAACAGCCGCCTGCTCTACATGTGAATGTTCTTTATTTTGCTTTATAATTTCATTGCCCTTAGCGTTTTGTGTTCTATTGAGGCCGAGTTTTGTGTTATGCAGCAAGGTTATTTTTTGAAGTTTTCGGTGGAAACATTGTTTTACATATTTTACAGGTGCTTTTTGAAATCTGATCTTGTTTGCATTCATATTTGACTCGCTTGATATTATAATCAGGGAAAATTGTTCTTTTATTGCAGCATGCCCAAGGATGAAGCACAATTATATGCAGCAAATGAACTGTATGCATTCACGCTCTTGTACCGTTTTTGTTTGGTGTTGTTTTTGGACGATTTAGTCTTAGTTCTGAATTACTTTAGGATTATTACATTGACTGGTTTCTTGGCAACAACACTTTCAATTTGGCAATTACTACTCATTGTTCGATGTGATTAGTCTGGGATTCGACTTATTTTTTCTGGAGTATTTAGATTGTTGTTCTGTGTTTCGTTTTATCGGAGCATAATTGTTAACGAGGCAGGGTTGTTGCTCGCAGTTACAAACGAGGTTGGTTTTATCATAAAGAACACCGTTTTTGGTTTATAAGAGTTGCCAACATGGAGCCGCTTGTCAAAACAAATACATACGAGAGAGGATCTTACCATTGTTTTGATCCAAATACCTTTGAAACAGTCCGGAAGGTTTGTTTTTGTACTTGTATACTGCATGAATGGACACGTGCATGCACCTGAAGTTTACAAATTATTTTTTTTCAGTATAATTTTGCCTCTAATGGACTGCCTTCTTGCAGGATAATTTTGTTCTTCATTATGAATTGGTGGAAAAGAGACCGTCTTTACCTCAACGTTAAAGGGGAAAAAAGAAAACCTTCAATGTAAAGTTTTTACTTGTGGATCTAGTTTGTAGGACGCAAGTCATTTCTCATCATTAGTTATCCTTCAATTTGGCGTTGATCTTACATTCGCTTCAATCTTGATGCACTGAGAGATATTACTTTTTTTTCCCTCAGCCATAATACAGTTAAAATAATGGACGTTAGGATAACCTGGCTGTCTGAAAGTAGCAGATATGGATGACCCAATGCACAGAGAAATACACCCCAGATAGATTGGATGCGGTGTTATTAGTTCTTTACAGCATACATGAAAATTCAACTCTGGAAGGGGAGTTCTTTTTAAAGATAAAAGTAAAAAGCATTAGTTTTGTTAAAATTTATCCTCCCTATTTATGATTAATATGCTTTACCTTTCATTCTAAGGTGAACTATTCACTTTAAGAGAAACACTGGGAATATAATCTGTGACTCTTTCAAGTAGTCTACAATGTTGTTGAATTATATTGAATCTTATGAAGTAATACAGGTTTCACTTTGTAGAAGTCTGTCTCGTGGGTTTTTAATTTGTAGTATATTTCTCAATTGTAGTGCGTGGGAAAGAATTTATTAAGAGTTGTACTAGCATCAAGAGACTAAATAATAGTAAAAAGAACAAAGCTAAATACTCAACAAATAACCCGTCTAATGTGTGCTTTCTTTCACTAAATTCTTTGTGCAGGCATAGGTTTCAACAGAGCATCATGCATAAAATTACTATGTGGTTGAATTAAAGTGAGGTTATAACATAAAAGGATTGACACCAAATTTTGCTCCCAAATATACTGTGCCAATTGAATCTTGTGACAAGTAGGCGAGGGGATAATGGAAGTCATTTTGACTTGAAATAATTTAGAATCCGTTAGAAACATGCTTTTTAACCTATACTAAACATAATAATTAAATTCATTGAAAATATGTGACGCTAACAATTTATATATTAAAAGCTGATCAAAACTAAAAGAATATAGTTTCATTTGGTTTATTTTTGTTAGGCCACTCCGACGCTGTATCTAATTCAGTGATTGCTTTAAATGTAAAAAAAACTCCATTTCAGAGACAGAAACGTCGGAATTGGATTATCTGTATATGCTTTGTTTCGATAGTCAGATTCACTCACCATTTTCATTCTTTTCTTCGAGGAAACTGTTTACCACTATGATTTATTTTGTACGTTATTAACATAAGTCATTTGTTGTTGTTCATATACAGATTTGGAGGTTCCACTTTAGCTGGATATAGTTCCATTTGGGCCGGTGCTTTTAAATTGGACAACGAAAGAAAGCAAGTGCTAAATAGGGAACAGACTGAGTAAGTTGGTTCTATCTAAATCGCATACATTTTCTTATAATACTCACTGTTTAATAGCTCAGAATCTGAGAACGCTGACACTGAAAAAGACTTATTAGACCTGCTTTGCAATGAAGATTTTCGAATGCTCCTCAAATTTGAGGCCTCGATGCGATGCCTAACGACCCAGTAACACATAGTCCCCAAGGTCGTAGCCATTATGGTTGTTCCTATAATGGACACTCCTATGGCCAGCCACTTCTCTTCCTTCCCCACCACTACAAATGACAGCGCCAAGAACGCCACCGAAATGAGAACACAAGCAATCCACATTAGCTTGTTTATCACTGCCATCATCTGCTTCTTTGCTTTGCTTTCTATAACCACAACCGAGGTCTGCACCACCACCACCGCCAAAGAGATAAACAGTGCAACGGAATCAAACACAAAGAAAATTATGAAAGGAGGTTCTGGAGCTATGTTTGCCTCCCCAAGGGACATCCCTGGAGGAATGTCATGTGGGTTATCGACGAATTGGCCAGGGACTGTGAAAATAGCCGCAAAGGCCACAGTGGCAATTAGGACTGCCACCACGGTTGTGGAGTTTATTGCATTGTTGAGTCCTTCCGTATGCATTTTGTTAATACGTTTGGCAATGCCCTGGACGCGTTTTCTGGTTTGGCGTGTGTGTTCCAACTGGTGGTGGACCTCGTGTTTTATGTCACTCACCGTCTGTTTCAACTCACGGGCTGTAGTAGCCGTTGTGCCCTTAGTGGGCTTTATGGCCCTCGCACTCTGAACACCATGTTCAAGAAGAATGGCTTTCACATCATTGTTCCCCGTTTTCTCCGCAGTGTCTATTGCTGTTTCCCCAGACCTATTCACTGCACTTGTTACCGTTTCCTTCTGTTCTAAAAGCAACTTTACAATCTGCACATACAACATAATTAAGACAACATACCTTAGCTTCTCCCTCTAACTTGACATATATAATTTATTTGAGGAACATCAATCAATGTAAAAGATTTTTCTAATGTTATTCAATCGCTACTACTCATGAATAATAAATGTACTGAAATTTACAACAATAGTTACATTACAAAGCATAAAAACAACCATTTCTGATTATTTGACTTGATAAATCATTCAAGCTGATAGCTGGACCAATCAGTAGATAATTCTTTCAAAACATGGAGACACAAACCACAGAAAATAACACATTCATCCAGAGCAGGGGTCATGATCTAAATTACCATTCATTTGTCATCACAACATTATACATACATGAAGCTTATAGAAAATTAGAGTGGAAATTATGGCAAGCTGTGGCCCAGTTTTTACCTTACTCCTGCCCTTCCTGGTTGCTATATGCAATGCTGTGTTTCCCTTAGTGTCAACCATGTTCGTTGATGAAGGGTCTGCTTTTATCAACTCTTCCACCACCTCAAGCTTCTGCCCCTTCACTGCCATGTGAAGTGCTGTCTGGCCCTTCTTATCGATTCTGGTGGCAATCGCAGGCTCTTTCTCAAGAAGTGCTTTCACAACAGCCACATGTCCATTTCTTGCAGCAGAATGCAGAGCTGTTTTCCCATTACTTCTAGCAATGGTTGCCAGACTACTTTCTGCTTCCAATAGAAACTTCACTATCTCAGTGTGCCCTTGTATTGCAGCTGTATGCAAAGCTGTGGTGTTGGATAGATCCACAGTCATTGACAACTCAGGATGACTTTCCATCAGAACCTTCATTACATCTACAACAAAGCAAAGAGAACTGAGGTTTCCTCCTAAATCAAACAAGCAGATATTGATGTAAAACCTGACCAACCACATTACCTAAATCCCCTTGTTTGGCAGCAATATGCAATGCATCAAAACCATTTCTAGCTTTAATTCCAGCATCAGCAAGATCATAATACTGAATGATCTCCCTAACTACATCAGTGTAACCATATTCAGCAGCAACATAAAGGGGAGTTTCTCCATCTTGATTCTGCTTGGCCAATAATTCATGCAATTCAACCTCATTAGTTCCGCAAATGGAATCCTTCAGCACAGCCAAATTCCCTGATCTTGCTGCAGAATGCAAAGGTGTATCGTCCCTTTTTCCCGTCAATTGTTTTACCATTTTTTTCTTATAGGTGTTTATTGCCGGCACCCCTGGTGTCTCCATATTGGCTTCTTCACCAACCTATTAAATTCTACTCTTTTAATGCTAATTATTAGTATGTCAACAAAACCTTATTTCCATTGTTCCTCCAAAATCCCAGATCAAAGCTAGAGTCTTTCATTCCACCGCAACTCAACGGGGAGGATAATCCAATCATTGTGAAATATATATTTTTTATTACTTTCTTATCTCTTCTACCTTCCAAAAAAGTTAGATATTTCCGTTCTTCCCGTGTCTGTTCACGAAAAAAAAGAAGAAGAAAAAAGGGTTAAAAACATTGCACCTACATATGTTTTCTCTCTGCATTATCATTGTGTTTAAAGAGAGAGATTCTAAAGAAGCAAAGCAACCCCACACCCTAGGATTTAAAAAAAAAATAAAAAACACAAAAAAGAAAGAGAAAAAGAAACAATTATTGTTTGGTTGAAGTATTCCTTAAATCATTTTTTATGTGAACGGAAAAAGAAGAAGAAAAGGTTGAAAATGAAATTTACCTGGGGTTGAAGGAAAAAGCACGACCCTCATCGCGAAAGCCATGGAAATGTGAAATCAGGTATGAGCTTGGAAGCACACCCTGTAAGGAACATTAATTGAGGATATGATATATGCACATATATTAATAATAATAACAAATTATATGAGAAAGTAAATATTTTGGAAAGAGACAGACATTAGAAGCATTGCCATATCATGATTAAGAAATGAAAGAAATGCGGCAAGCTCAGAAATGCAGGTGTAAACAACAGTTTTATGGCAATCTAAATCGTTGACAAATTCTAATACACGCACCAAGCTCACCCTTAATGGAGCAACTTTTACAAAGGTTGCGATTATGATATTTCTCCAGAAACTGAATATATGATCAAATATAGCCCTAAGCATGAAAGGTTCATAAGGGAGAGAGAGAGAGAGAGAGAGAGAGAGAGGCTAAACCTGAACAGGTGACAGATTAAGAGAAAAACGGAAATAACAGAACCACTGCTCAATTGGATTTTTGGTGGCGCCACCCAACAACATATCATTATGTTTGGATCAGTTCTTCACTTATGTACATAAAATTAAATAAATAAATAAATATTTTCTTATATTAAACTTAAGTTATACATAATAAATTGAAAACATAAATTTGTAGAATTTAAATAAGACAAATTAACTTCATTTTAGCTTATAAAAAATAATTTAAATTATTTTTCTAATACAAAATTTATAATTAGTTTCATGTGATCCTATACACTGGGTCCAATTATTTTTACTATTTCTTGGGTCAATAACTGTTTTTCTGATATTTTTTTAGTGTTTTTTTAGTATATACGACTTTCTTATTTATATCTTTACTCTTTTTCATTCTCTATACATAAATAAAACAAAAGTTTAGAAGAGAGAAAATATCCGTAATTTAAAGTCTTATATAGTTGTATAATACAATAATTTAGGGTTTGCCATACTGAGATCTTTTTTCTAAAATATCCGTAATTTAAAGTCTTATATAGTTGTAACTATGAAAAACATTTTGAAGATTAATGTTAGGTAGATCCACTACCAAATACTTTGTTAAATTCTTCAAAATAAAGATATTGATAAAAGTCGAAATATGTGAATCTAATAATTATGAGATCATGAATGAATTTATATAAAAAGAATGTAATGTTACTTTTAATTCAAAATTTTAAAATAATGTTTTTTTTTATATAGTGCTTATCTTCATTCACTCAATAAATATGAAATTTTTAACTTGATATTTGAATTCTTCATAATTGTTTTTATTGTTAATCAGTGTCTTGTGACGGTTTGTTATCTTAAGGTGCAAGTTATTTCATTACTTTTGCTTTAATCATTGATTCCTCCTTTTTTTTTTCATTGTCTCATTTATTATTAAGATGGAGAATTTTTTTTGTAAAACTTTTGTGGTTAAAAGGTTTCTACGTGGGTTAAGCATTCGCAATATATTTTTTTAGCATTGAATTTTTTTTTTCTTCTATCTTTTTTATTTTTATTTTTGTCATGTTCTTCTTCAAGTGGGTAATCAACCAACCAAACCATGTTTTGAACAAAATTAGACTGAAACTACATCGTTTTTGTTATTGCTTCAAGAGCAAATAACCTAATCTGTATTAGCAAATTAATGCGCAAAATTACTTTTAAATAGACCTTAGTTATATATATATATATATATATATATATACACACACACACACAATTGGATCTCAATAATTTTATGATTAATATCTCTAATTAGTTATTTGATTTTTTTTAAATGATGTTTCAAAAATGATACAGGTAAATAGATTAAAAAACTTAAAATAAGAATTTAAAAAGAAATATAACTCGTTTACGCAATAAAAAATAAATTTAAAAATTAAATGATTTTATGCTTTATATTGCATACGAAGAGAGAGATCTGAACACCAAAAGGAAAAAGAGAAAAATAAGTTGGACGCAATGGCATGTGGCTTTGATGCTCTCTCAATAATATGATTATTAATTTATATGACAATAATTTCATGCAAAAAGCACATCAACCTTCTCCTTAACTGACACAAATTCAAAATAATATTATAAGATTTAATTTTAATATATTACTTTTAAGATTTCTTACGATTTTTTGATTAATGCAAGAGTTTTAAAAAATATATATAATTTTTCATTTACATTTTGATGAAAGTAAAACGTTTTTAAAAAATATGATTCACGATTAGCGTATTTTAAAAGTGTTGTTATATGAGTCACTTAAGAATGTGACTATAATTTGTGTTTAGATATCTTCTACAAATGTTACTGCCTCAAATGGTATTATAATCAATACTAAGATAATTAATTCTATAATTAGTTTTTTTTGTTACATTTTTAACCTTGAATATTTTGCAATTTATTTAACCTGTTTACTCTTGTGTCATATATAACAAATTTTCACTAAGAAAACATTAAGGATATAAAATACAATATGGTATTATGATTATATCACTTTTATCATATTATCTTAAAGTTCATAAAAATTCTCTTAAAATACATCAAATTTAATTAACAAAGTACACTTACATCATCTCTAAATTAATTATGAATCATCAAACAACTAAAAATTATAACTTAAACAACACTTAAATTATACAAAAACCTTTGGTTTAGTAAGTAAAACATTAAAGAATCAACTCATAGTTATAATTTAAACCCAATAGCACAATTAACATAAGTTTAATATATTTTCCAATCAAATTAAAAGTCAAACAAATATGACATCTTGATTAAATTTTCTACACATGCAATCATTTATATTACTTTTAACTTATTTGGTTATCTGCTCTTAAATTTACATATAATATAAGTAAATTTAAATTTGGAAAATCACACAAACTTTTTAATCACTTCAACAGTCGATCCTAACCATTAAAACACCTCAAATCAAAAATCTAAACTCTAGACATTTCTTCTCCAATGAACTACTGCATGCATAATTTAATAAAATGTTAAGGGAAATTAAACTCTATCACTGTATACTTAAAATAAATATTTTTTCAATAATAACATTCTGCATCGTCTATATGAATCTTGTGAGTACAATTAATATTTCTTAATGAATATTCACTAAATATCTTATATTTATAAAAGATTCAAATTTTCTTGTTCACTCGAGTGTTGAAAAGTTTTTTGCATATAAATTTTCTTTTCCGAGCAATAAATAATTTTATTCCGATCATCAAAAGTATTCAAACTATTGTCTGCATACTTATGTTCAAAATCCCGGTAAGATGGTAAACTAATTTCAAAGTTGATGTTTTTTTATCTCAAATTTTAATTAAAAGATTAAAGTTTTTATGAAAGAAAGAATAAAATTTTAAGGTTTTGAAAAAAAAAAGGTGAAGAATAAACGAGGATTCTATTTTTTGGAAATAAGAAAGAATTTAAGAATTTGATAATCCCCAATAACTAATACACTTCTTTTTTTCATTTTACTCTTAGAAAGCCCAACCCATCAAATCCAAACACTTTTCATTACACTTATCGTTTAATTTCTATCCACGCATATTGAAATCATTCTTAATTTGTTTACTCAAATCTTCAAACTCATAATTTATATATTTTTTTAATGACTCATTTCCCTGCCCTCATTGAATACCACTTCATACGTAATAAAACACAATATCTTTACAATAAAAATAATATTAATTTTATCATAAAATATTATTTATGCATATCTTATAAAGATTGTTATTACCTAACAAATTGTATAACATATTTAAAATATATATTTTAAAATATATTTTTATTATAAATTGTATTTTTTTTCTTAAATTTCTTAACCCAACGACTAAGTGTAATTGACTGGAGTTAGATTATCAAATAAAAGTAAAAAAAATTTAGCTCAAGTAAATCTATTTGAGTTACAAAATAAGTTAGATTAAAGTCGAGTTAATCTGATCAATTACACTCCTAATTTTCCTCTTTTTTTTTCATATTTATACACATACCCATTACAAAATAATGTTTTTTTATTAAGTTAAAGTTTTTTATTTCGGTAAAATAAATATCCTTTATATTTCCCATTATTAAAATATTTTAAAATAATGAATAATATTAAATAAATGCATTACTTTTTTAATATGATATCAATACTTAATGAGATATTTACACTATTAATATATTTTAATTAAACATAATTTTATGGCTAAACAAGATTATTTCTATCTCTATAAATATAATTATTTTATACCTCAAATATTTCGTACTCAACTTTCCAACGTTATTTTTAAAATTATTTCTACTTGCATAAATGTAAAAGGAAAAAAAAAAAAGTCTCTGAAACAGAGAAACGTGGATGACATACGTATTAATTAGCGGCAAGAAAGACGAAATGCGCATTCGGACACGGCCAAACATACGGAAACAATATGAATACAGAATTGAAATAACCTAATTCAAAACAATCACAATTGTATTTTTGAAAATAAGTCAAATCAAAATACATTTCAATGGTGGGTTTAAAATACACGAAACAAATGTTATATAGGAAAATTTAATTGATTTAATTTTCAAATTATAATTTATAACAATAATTATTTATAGTAATATATTTTAAAAAATTAAACAACAATAATAAAATGATAAAATAACGTATATTTTAGTATATTGTAAATATATATATATATATATATATATATATATATATATAATGTCGATTTTAATTATATAAAAAGATATATTAAATAAATTTAGATTATTATCAAAATTAAAGATGATAATGGGTTGACACGATTTTAATTATCTTATCTGTCTTAATTTTTAAGAGCGGGTTTAATTTAGCATATAAGTATAATTATGAGAATTACTTTATTCTTTAAGTTAGATATATACGTGTATTAATATTTTATAGATAATTTAAAAATATATTTTATAATAACCAGTTGTATTTTTACTTTTGGTAAGTAAATAACACTGATCAATTTTACCATCTTAATTAAAATATATTAATTTTTATTTAATGTAAATTACCGGGCGGTGATAAATATTCTTTAAATCTTGACATTAATTTTTGTCTTTATATGTTTTGAATATGAAATTGACCTAATGTACTTTATATAATAAAAAAATAGCAAAAAAAATATTCGAGAAAAGTACAGTGTCACTCATTTTGATTGCCATGTGTCAAACAGAGAGGCGTACTGTCTGAGGTCCACACAGAAAACAAAAACCTAAATCAATGCTACATTCACTTCCCCCACGCGTTCTCATTTTGCTGGCTAACACTTTTTTTTAATGTTATTTATTTTTAAGTCATTATGCTTTCAATCATCAAACTTTATATTAAACCTGTATTTATCTACCTTTTCTAAGTATATTTTTTATTATTTTATGACTATTATTTCAATAACTCTTATTAATAAAAAAAATTCAATCTAGACTCGCCTTAAATTTCTAAAGACATAATAACTTAGTCCATCCACCGAAACATACATCAAATTCATCACTTACACTTTACCAGACAAAAGTTGACCTACTCACATACGTGATGGGAACTATCATTTACCTGTTAAAAAGAATTAAAGTTTTATATAATTTTAAAACCACCATTTACATAGTATAAATAATTATATTAATATTAAAAAATAAATTTTAAAAAATAATTTGTAAAGTAAAATTTACGTTTAAAATAGATTCTAATTATAATTCTGATACTAAATTAAAAAATAAATTTTAAATATAATTTAATTTTACAAAATTAATTTATAAGATGAGATTTATATTATTTATTTAACATTTTTATTAATTAAATTCTTAAATCACACACCACAATTATTGTCCATCTATATCTCTTGGAAGCATTTTCAAATCGGTGGGAGAAATTTCGTATAATGTTTGAGGACGGCCTCTCCAAAACAATAAAATCATCTTTTAAGAAAATAAACCAAGAATTTTTCATTTTAATTGGGAGCAAGTCAACAAAAGATTCAATTTTTTAAATTATTAGTGAGAAAATTTTCAAGTAATAAAAGACTAAATTTGGTATCATGGAATGGTAGTAATCAATTATCAAACTTGACATTGGTAATTTGTTCACGTGCTAGAAGAATTTCGTATTCCTCCGTATACGCAAGAATCTCCGGAGAGAGTATACACAATACATTCTCTTATTACTTTTAAGGTATGTTGTTCAGTAGAATGAAAAATTTTAGAATTATATTTTTCTTGTGTTCATAATTTACATGAACAATAATTTTTTAATAAGAAAAAAATTAATCTTTTAAAAATGATTAGTTAATTACGACCAAGTTTTGAAGTCTTGGTAGTTAGTGGAGTTTGAGAAGCTTCAGTTTCACGCGATAAGATTACGCTGGATTCAACTTTTCTCCACTTTTGCATGTTGGCACTTCTACTATCATGTTTCACACTGCAACAACGACTTTCCCTTCTATTATTTGCTTCATCCATTTCCATTTTCACATCTACACATCAATTTACTTTAATGCAAAAAAAATAAAAAAGTTTCTTTAATAAAATAAGATATTAAAGTTCAAACTACGTTACCAAAAGAACCAAAATTGTCAAATCAAACGACTGAGATTTTTTTATTTTTAATTTTATAATTAAAATATTAGTATTTTTTTTTTCCTTTTTATTGCTCTGGAACATCTTACCTAAACACACACTACCTGGCCTATCTCTGTTTTGTTTATTGCAAAACACATGCTTTCACCGAAAAATCTCTCGCAACAAACCCTTGTGTTCTGACCCTGCTTCCACCGATTTTTCCTTCACCAGCTCTCTGTTTCTTTTTTTTTTTATTTTATTTCGGAATATTAAAAAAGTGTATGAATGAATGTGTCAATAGTTAAGGTTGTCATCTGGATAATTCCAGCTTGTGCTGAGCTAGATTCTTGCTGAAATGGATTTATTCTTCTCGTGTCAGTAGCTGTACTGAACTTTCTCTCAAAACAACAAAAAGGGTCACTTCAGAATTCAGATTTCCCTTTTGCTCCTCTACCTTGATTCAAGTTGCTTCTGCATAATAACAAAGGTGCCATCTTTTTCTGTCTTTGTTATCCGTCTTTTTCTGTTGTTTGACTTGAATGATTTTCTGGTTGATGAGTGCAAGGTTTATCAGTTCTTTTCCTGCTTGTGCCATAAACTTCAATTAGCTTCACACTGAGAGAGAGAGAGAGAGAGAGAGAGAGAGAGAGAGAGAATTAATATCCCCAGTGGTCTCTATTCATTTGTTGAGGCCACAATGATTGATCGGAGAAATCTTGGTTTTTTTCTCTGTGCTTTATCGATCTTCCCTCTTGTATGTTTTTCTGCCACCTTTGTTCCAGTTGATAATTATCTTATAGACTGTGGAGCATCTGCAAATACTACAGTAGGTAGGCGCAATTTCACAGCAGATAATTTGTTCAAGGATCTCCTTTCTACACAAGAAGATATTCTTGCCAATTCCTCCTCAAAATCAAGCACTTCTTCCTCTGATGATTGGCCTCTCTATCAAACTGCAAGAATCTTCAATGGACCCTCGAAGTACACCTTTCCAATTAGGCAAAAGGGGAGACACTGGATCCGTCTATATTTCTTTCCTTTTACTCACGAAAAGTACAATTTGGGTGCTGCAAATTTCACTGTCGCCACGCAAGACCATGTTCTTTTCAGTAGCTCCAGCATGCAGAAAGATCCTGTGATGAAGGAGTACTCTGTGAATGTAACCTCAGACAACCTCGTTATCACCTTTGCCCCTTCTGGCAATTCCACTGCCTTTGTGAATGCCATTGAAGTTGTTTCTGCTCCCGATGACCTAATTGTTGATGTTTATTCCGGCTTAGATCCGTCGGTAACCTTATCTGGGTTGGTGACGCAATCACTGGAGACAGTTTGGAGGGTTAACATGGGTGGTCCAACTGTGACCCCCGTGAATGACACCCTTCAAAGAACTTGGATTCCAGATCAAAGGTTCCTTTTGGAACCTAACCTTGCCAAATCTTTTAGTAATATCGCTGCTGTCAAGTATGAGAAAGGTGGTTCAACAACAGAAAACACCGCTCCCGCTACTGTTTATGGTACCCTCTCAGAGATGAACTCGTCCTCTGATCCCCGAAGTAATTTCAATGTGACATGGAAGTTTGATGTGAGTCCTGGATTTCAGTACCTTGTTCGATTTCACTTCTGTGATGTGGTCACCAACGGTCTCAATTCACTCTACTTCAATATTTATATTGATTCCAAGATGGCTGCTGCTGATTTTGATCTCAGTACTCATACTAATAATGCTTTGGGGGTTCCATATCATATGGATTTGGTTACACCGTTGGCTGTGAACAATACACTTCGTGTAAGTATTGGTCCTTCTGGTTTAAATAAGGATTACCCGAATGCAATTTTGAATGGGCTGGAGATCATGAAAATGAACAATTCGATGGGCAGTCTCATCACAGGAACAGTACCTGCAGCTATTGGTATAGGTTCAAGTTCTAAGAGTATTGGCATGATTGTGGGTGTGGTTGTTGGTGTAGTTGGTGCAGTTGTCTTGGCTGGACTTATCTTTGTATTGTGCATGAGGAGACGAAAGTTGGCTCGGCAAAGGCAGTCAAAGACATGGGTTCCTTTATCCATCAATGATGGAACTACTTCTCATACCATGGGAAGTAAATATTCTAATGGCACGACACTAAGTGTTGCTTCAAACCATGAGTACCGAGTGCCTCTTGTTGCAGTTCAGGAGGCTACAAACAACTTTGATGAGAGTTGGGTTATTGGGATAGGTGGCTTTGGTAAAGTGTACAAAGGAGAGTTAAGTGATGGCACAAAAGTGGCAGTTAAGAGGGGAAATCCACGGTCCCAGCAGGGGCTTGCAGAGTTCCAAACTGAAATTGTAATGCTGTCTCAGTTCCGCCATCGCCATCTGGTGTCTTTGATTGGTTATTGTGATGAAAGGAATGAAATGATCTTGATATATGAGTATATGGAGAAAGGAACTCTCAAGAGTCATTTATATGGCTCAGATCTGCCTAGCTTAAGCTGGAAGGAGAGGCTTGAGATATGCATTGGATCAGCCAGAGGACTTCATTATCTTCACACTGGCTATGCTAAAGCTGTTATTCACCGTGATGTGAAGTCTGCAAATATCCTACTTGATGAGAAACTAATGGCTAAAGTCGCTGATTTTGGACTGTCAAAGACGGGGCCTGAAATTGACCAGACACATGTGAGCACAGCTGTGAAAGGTAGTTTTGGGTACCTGGATCCAGAGTATTTCAGGAGGCAACAACTGACAGAAAAGTCAGATGTGTATTCATTTGGGGTAGTTCTGTTTGAAGTTCTTTGTGCAAGACCTGTCATAGATCCAACACTTCCCAGGGAAATGGTAAACTTGGCAGAATGGGCAATGAAATGGCAGAAGAAGGGGCAGTTGGAGCAGATCATAGATGAAAGACTTGCAGGAAAAATCAGACCAGAATCTCTCAGGAAGTTTGGAGAAACTGCTGAGAAATGCTTGGCTGATTATGGTGTTGACAGACCTTCCATGGGAGATGTCTTGTGGAATTTGGAGTATGCTCTCCAACTTCAAGAGGCTGTGGTTCAAGGTGATCCTGAAGAAAACAGCACCAATATGATTGGTGAACTCTCTCCACAGGTCAACAATATCAGCCAGGATGCAAGTGCTTCTATTACACAATTTGAAGGCACAAGTCTTGATGATCTCTCTGGTGTTTCTATGAGTAGGGTCTTCTCACAATTGGTGAAGTCTGAGGGTAGATAGATGGCTCTGGATTTATCCAATCTTATAAATTATGTCACAGTGCTCTTATGTTATGATTTTTATTGTTTTTCTTCTGATCACTAGTTCTCTTCCTGCACTTGGAAGACTAGGCATTTCATAGATTTGTAAAGAAATATTGAGTTGAAACATGTTTGGTGAAAATCTTGTGTAAGTTATGCAGAAACACCTGAACCAAAAAGTGTGGCAAAGTTTGTATAATTCCTTGTTTGTTTAATCTCTTTAAAAAAGGGTTCTTAGTTTTCTAAAATTTAAAACTAAAAATACAAACTTTATACGTTTATTCTCAGCTAAAGTTACAGAATTGTTTTCCAAACATACGAAACAGAAACAGGTCGTATGCAGCTGGAAGCAACTCAAATCTGCATTTCGTTTCTTTTTGTACACGGATAGAATTGCATTGCAAAAGATGCAATGATTTACTTTCGTTTAGAAAAATGTTTCCCAGGAAACAAGTTTTCATAACCGAGTATGTCTTAAGCACTTAAATTGTTACACTTCTTTATACTTTGTCTGCTACTTAGTGGTTCATATATGACAGAAAAAATGCTGTACTTTAAAAAAATGAAAAACAAAATGAGAATGTTGAATTTAGGTCCTTCACTTCCACCACTTCCAATTCCACTAACTTCTAACACCCTTTTCACCTACTACCAACATGTTACCACCAGCAAGTCATCATCAACCAAAAAGTGCTCATAGTGTTACACATAGAAATATCTAGAGAGAAATATCAGCAACACATTCTTCAACCTACTTTTTATCAGTTAAAAGATTTATAAGAATGAGAATAATCATGACTCCTGCATCTTATTTCATTATGTGTTTCATAGTTTTATAGTTTCAAGTAATTTTAATGATTATTGTTTATATGTGATGTAATTTTTTATATCATCATCCAAAATTGTCTTATAATAGAAAACTATTAACTTTTATTGCAATTGTTTTAAAATTTTACTTTGAACAGTTCATAACTGGTTGATTCTGTGAAATTTTTTCATTGATGATGCATAAAATTACAATATATTATATAACAATATGACAAATATAATATATCGGTTTCATAGCTATTGAATAATCTTTAGTAGGAATATTTATTTCAAATAATCATGTTATCTTTGGGTGTGAGTTATTTTCATAAGCTTGCTCTTCTTATGGTCTCATACTTTTTTTTTTCAATCCCAAATTACTGAATTTAATAAATTTATTGTTTTTTTTTTTTTTATAATAACATGCAATGCGGTAAATTTAATTCTTTTTCCCCAAACTTGTCACCACGTGCCTCGCCGGCTTTTGCGACGGAAATTCCAAAGGCCACCACGTTAATTCAATATTTCCGATAAATGCTTTTATAATATTTTTTAAATATGTATATATACGATCAAATCACTATTTTTTGTAATAATCATTTTAAAAGTATATTCTAATTGCTCTGATTAATTAATATAAAATGATTTTGCATTAAATGCAATATAAAAATAAATATAGAGCGTAAATTACACTAAAAACCTCGACAATTAACCTGATGTGTTCTTTTGTTTTCAAAATTTGATTATGTATTTTTTTCAGATTGATATGAATGTTCTCCACTCCATTATTTCTTATATTTTCCACCAACGCAAACATTTCTTAGTTTCTATAGATATAAGTAACTATCTCTGTTAAATAAAATGTCAGAATATTTTTTTTAATTTTATTCGCATAACTATTTTTAATTCTAAATAAATCTCCTATCAACTAATCATGTAAAATTACGTCATAAGATTAATTTCTCTAACACAACATAACACCTCGTACGCAGTGGAAAGGGCCAATATACTAATAATAATAATAATAATAAATTAGACGCTTAAACAAAAAACATATTATTTTCATTCAAATTCTCACACAATTACAAGTGGTAACAGCTGTAAATTAATCTGCAGCAGAAAGAAATTAGCAAAACACTGCTGCAATTCTGCTTCAAGTTTTTATACAGCACTTCGTTATCTTTGCCTTACAAAAAATACAGGAAAAAAAAAGCAGAAAAAAGCACACAGAAGAACATAGTTTAAAGCAGAAGAAGATGAAAAGGAAAAGAAGCATATGATGATAAATTGGAGAAGATGAATTAGAAATCATGAAGAACATCAACCTTAGCATAGCAGGGTAGAAAGGTTTGAAAGATTGAGAAAGCAGCATAAGTAACATCTCTGGCTCTCCCTAGAACCTTATTCTTACCCTTCAATTTCAGTTTATTACTCACACAATTCACACCTTCCTTCAGTCTATTCAAACACTTCAATGTCTTCTCAGTCACACCAACTTTCTTCTTTGAGAATTTGTAGCTTCTTAGGTACATCTGCCTGCACGAGAAGCTATCAACTTCTTTTGCTTGCACATCAGAAACTACACTCGCGTTACAATTCAGTGATACTGCTTTATCTCTGATTGATGTAGAATTTCTCATAGTTTTCACAAATTCTATATCAGATTCTGGCCACTTGTAGAGGTTCAGATAGGTTGGTCTATGGGGAAGACGTGTTTTGTTGACACAGTCAGATATGAAAACAGAAGCCATAGGTTTTGGAAATGTTTTCACAGAAGAGCATTGTAGCATAATGATAGTAACCTCATGAACCCTAGAAAGAACATGCTGCAATGGTTTTGTATAAGATAAGTGCTTGGGGATGTGACAGAATGAGTTTTTTAATTGTCAAACTCTCTTTTGAAATTGATCTTTTGGTTCATAGAAATGATTCATAATAATACACTTTTATATTTATTTGATATATAATATAAGCATAAAATAATTACAAATAAATATTCTTTTATATTTTTTAAATAAAATAATAATAATGACAAATAAATATAAAAAATTATGTGTTAAAATATTATTTTTCTTTCATATAATTTAAGAAAAATAATATTCTAATCCACATAAATTTTTTACATTCGATATTATTTTTTTTATTTTTTTATTTTTTTAATATAAAATTTTTATTCTTATACTATGTTTCATGTCAAATGAATGAATGTAAAAATAAGTCACATTATTATTACTCGTACGTTAATAATATTTACATATTAATGTGTGATATTACTTGTTCAAGAGTTCATAATGGCTTTTCGGATTTCTTACAAACCTAACGCTCTCACTAAATTCTTAACTATCAATTTGATTCTGAGCAAATCAAAATATGCAATGATGAATGCAGTCTAAAATTTCCCTTGAGACGTTTCTACGTCATGCTTGCATATTCCCTGTGTATTATAATATAAATTAGGTTATATTAAGTCTTCCTATAGAATGTATATACAATTAATTATGTCTTTAGTTTTTTCTTAATACTAATTTTTTATTTATTATAATAAAATAAATAATTAAAATAATATTATTAATAATTAAAAAATAAAATCATATTAGTTACTTTTTCCTTATTAAAACAATTTTATTTTTTATTCCTTTTTTCATCTGAACTCAATCTAAATAAATCTAAAGATAGTATCCTACTTAAAAACTCCCCACCAAATCAAATCCAAAGTGTGCCAACATTATTTCTACTTGTACTTGGCTATCTTGTGTACTTCAGTATGCTCAATAAGTACATTAAATTAAAAGAAAGTCCCATCATATTAAGTGTATCATTTTTTGCATACAAAAATTATTGATGTATATTAAAAAGATTCATCAATATAATAAAAATGAAAAATTAAATAATGTGATAAGAGATTTATAACGGAAAAAACAAGGTATAATTATTGGTTTGATCTTCATTTTGGTAGAAAAAGTCTTAAGTTCATCATCACTTTTTTTTAAGTTTCAATTACATTCTAACTTCTGAAATAAGATAATTTTAAAAAATTAATAACAACATTAATAACATGTCACATGTATATTTATGACTTTTTACAACAAAAAAAATTGTAAAACTTTTTGTTGTCACATGATCAAGTCCCTAGTTTGATTGTGATATTGTTAGTATTATGTAACAGATAATACTGTATGTTAATGCAAATGTCAAATATCATTATCTTAATTTTAGTATAAATTCATTTTTTTTCAAAAAAAATAAATATTTATCATTTTCAAATCAAGATAAAATTTATTATTTCTATAAATATTATACTAATATTTTTTATTAAAAATATTTGTTTAACATATTATATTATTATATATTTTTAACTGTTAATCATAGCTTTTATTATTAAATTTTAATATAAATATTAGTATAATATTTATATGAATAATAAATTTGATTTTCCTATCAAATTTATTATTTGTATAAATAGTATTAACTTATTCTTATAAAAGAAATATAAACTATTAATATATTATTTTTAAATACTTATTTTTTATAAAAATATTTATATTTAATTAGTTTTGATCTTATAAAAAGTATGAATTAAAATAATATATAATAATATATGTTAAAAATTTATTTTTAATAAAATATCAGTATAATATCTATATAAATAATGAATTTGGTCACAGAAAGAAATAATATTATTTTATTTTGATAAAAATTGTAACTAAATTAAATCAACAAAATATAAAAACTAAATTGAAAACATTAATAATGATTTATCAGTGTGATGTCATATAGTATTGAGAGTAACATATTACATTAAGAATAAGATACATGGCAACAAAAATTTTATAAAAGAAAATTAAAATATCAAAATTTTAAAAAAAAATCTACATGTTGACACATGCTACATTGTTAGTAATTTCTTTTTTAAATAATCTAATTAAAACACTTTTTTTTATACAATTAAAATTTTGCTTAAAACCACTGTTATCATAGTAAATTATGATAAGTAATCGTCGTATTTGCATCACTTATGTGAATATACGATTACGATTAGGGGAATTGTATTTAAAAGTGACTTATTTTATTAAAAATCCTCTTAGCTTAAACAAATATATTGTAACAAAAAAACACAACCCACTTAACAACAGAAACATACACTATTCGAAAATATCTAAGAACTACGATTTCTTGGTTACTACCAAGATATTATTTAGAAAAAAAATAAGAAAAAAAACTGGAACAAAACTCCTTCCTTCCATAAGTATATTATCTGTAATTTTTATTTGTTTAAAGAGTTTCCCTCTATTGATTTCCAGAATTTATTTAAAATTTAGATTTTAAGAAACATTTTAAAAGAATTACATATACAAGAAAAAAAAATAAAAAAAAATGAAAAACGTTAGAAAGGTGCTATTAGAGTTTGTAGGAAGAGAGGTGAGCTAAAGACAGAGTGTAAACAATAACTAATGTAAGATTTTCACATCATAAATTATCACCAAGCACCTAACACATACAACTCTAAAACAAATCGATAAATACGTAATTGTGTAAATTATATTCTAGAAAATAAATTACATTGTGCATTATCCTTTAAGGTGTAGGGTTTAGGAAAGTCACATTATTTTAAAACGAAAAATAAAATCACCTTCAATCTGTTTATCTTCATCTTCCTAAAAAATTTAATTTTCTCCAATCAAATAGTTATACCAAGGGAATTAAAAATATATTTTTAAAAAACAATGATTTTTATAGAAATTAAAATTGTCGTACAGTCAAACTTACTTTTTAGCTGAAGAATTTCTTAAAAAATAAAATAAATAAAAAAACGATAAGAATTTTACATCATTAGAAAATTCAAAATTTATATCACCATTACGTCCCTTTTCTACCTCATCTTTTCTATCCTTTCTTCCACGTCCAAAAGTCTAGATTTTGAAGATACTAATTATCAATGCTCTTAATCAGAAGAGAAAATATAATGCTACCCAAATTGGATATGCAATGAACTGGGAACTGAAATCTGATACAATTCTCAATTCCATCAAAAGTAGTTACAGCACATCACAGAACCAACAAAACAAAGTAAAACACCTATCACCAAAACATATATCTGATAATCACACCTAGCCTTACCCTTTCAACTACAAAGACAACAAAGAAAACCAAAACCTAACTTCAATCCTTGCCATTTCTTTTCTTGACAGCAAGACTTTTCCCCAGAGAGGAAAATCAAGCGACATAAAATCCAAAACCCTAACCCCCAAATCCATAGAGAGTCCTTCCCTGCCTCTTCAGAGCATAAACAACATCCATAGCAGTAACCGTCTTCCTCCTCGCATGCTCCGTGTAAGTAACGGCGTCACGGATCACGTTCTCCAAGAAGATCTTGAGAACCCCACGGGTTTCCTCATAAATCAAACCGCTGATACGCTTCACACCACCTCTGCGAGCCAAACGCCGAATCGCCGGCTTCGTTATTCCCTGAATGTTATCGCGAAGCACCTTACGGTGACGTTTAGCTCCTCCCTTTCCCAATCCCTTGCCCCCCTTTCCTCTTCCAGACATCTTCTTGAATAAAACCTCAACGAGTCAAATTAAATTCTAAACAAAATCAGAAAAATTGATTTAGCACCAGAAATTGAATAAATTAACTGATAATATGCAAATTAAGTATTAGTGAAATTGATTTACCTGTGAAGAAGAGTTGAAGAAGAAGCTCTGCGTGTTGTTGTATTATGTGGATTTGGATGTCGATCCGTTTTTATAAGGAGTCAGTGACAGTGTGTCGATCCGTGTGCTAGGTTTTCAAGTGCGTTGTGGACCGTTGATTTTTGTTAATGTACGATGAAGATGCGAAAAGAGACTCGGTGTGGATCGATGACGTGGCCTGGCTCGTTTAATGAAAGGATGACTTTGGTGTTGGCGGGTTTTAATAATTTTGGGGCTTTGGTATGCCGCCAAGCAAAAAACGCCTTACCCACCCATGTTTTATTAGAATCACAGATTTAAATTACGTTTTCAATGCGAAGAAAATTATTATTCTTATATATTTCTCTGATTGAATTGAAAGGAAAAAAGAAATTAAGTGAATGGAAACAGTTTGGTCGATAAAAAAATATTATTTTGTTTAATTTTATTCATTTATTTATTAATACTATTGGCATAATAAATAAGTTAAAAATAAATTCGTTTTGTTTAAAAATTTGTGTCGTGGTTGATTAGGTCATGTGTTGTGATTATTTGTGTGCTTTTCTTTTACTTTTACCAAAAACATATTTTTTTGGATTTTACTCTTTTTCCTATTTTTGCTATTATTTTATTATCGAATTATTTTCTCCCATTCGTTTTATTATCTTTTTACTATTTTTCGTTCTCTTTCAACTCTACCGAACTAGATAAATTGTGCAGTGGAATATCATCTCGATAGTTCACTAGTTAGCTACCAATCGATCGGTAAAATGCTCAATGAATAAGACTAATGACATAATAATAAATTTTGTAGTTAAGTCTTCTGTAGATAAAAGAATGTCATAAATCCATATAAAAAAATATTTAACATTTATGAGAATTTTAAGTTTAAAAGATTTCGCAATGTTATAATTATATATGTTATAATTATATTTAGAATTTGAAATTTTTAACCGAACTAGTAGTCAAATTAGGTTGGATGGCAAATTTTGTTAAAAAAAAAAGTACTTTAAAAATTTGAGTTTTATGTATTATATTATTTAAAAATATAAATATATAATAATATTATAATTTAAATTAATAATACTTACTTACATAATTTTCTCTTTAATCTTGTTATTTTTGTCACTCACCTATCTTTTTTTCTCCACAACTTTACTTTTTATTCCAATCCTTTTTTTTTCTCCACTAGACTTCTCTTCTCATGGATTTTCTACCACTTCATGTCTTTATAGTTTTACATCCATGTGCATCATCACCATCAACACCTTGTGATAATTTTTTTTCCACCTGTTGCTTCGTAAGATGGACTTTGAAGAACAAATTTTCTCTTTCCACAAAGATAATAAAATACTCATGCTAACTTATGATTTAGATATATTAAGCGCTATCATCTTCACCGGTATCACCACCAAAATTGGTGGTGGTGATAACTTCCTCCAACATAAGGATTTCAAGATTTTTGTACATTTATTTATTTTATGGTATTTCACATTTTATGGTATTTCATGTGTGAGAACAAGGAAAGGAAAAGAGCTAGAGTGAAGAGTTTAAAGATAAAGAAATCTCTTTTCTAAGTTATTTTCATCAACTTAGTTTGTAATTTTTATCTGTCTTTTTTCTTTATGTCCGTTTCACTTCTCTTCTAACTTTATATTGAATCGGATTGCATTGAGGAGAAATTATTTAGTCTTGACACAACTCATGATCTCTTATAAAGAAATTTCTTTACCAATTAACACACTGATAAAGAAGTAAATAGACTTATTGTCAAGTTTTTGTTAGTTCTTAAAATTATTATTGTCTTCCTTTACTGCTTTTCGCCCACGGTCTTTAACACCACTCACAATCATATCTAATACATCTTAAGAGCCAAAAATGACCATCATCTTAATTTGTCAATCCTTAAAAATATTCTCATCAAAAACATGTAAAGCTCCTTGGATGATGTTCCATCCTTCTTCCCTCCTCTGATTGAATTTTCGCATGGATCCCACTACTCTTGACACCAATACACTCGTTCTTAGATTATTAAGACAGTCTCTAACTCAATACATTATCTACTTGATTTAGTTACCACCATTGCACGTCACTTACACGTGTTAGTTTATTTATGCTTTTAATTAAATAAAGTTTTTATTTCTTATGATTGAAATAGTTTGATCGTTAGCTAGCTATTTTGTAGTTATACATGACCTACTTTTAGATATGCATTTAGAATCAATTATGATTTAGAAAGAAAGAAAGCAATCACAATTTTATGTGACAACAACTTCATTATATCTAAAAATCTTATCTTTCACGAGCACAGTAAGCACATTACAATGAGGTTTCACTTTCTTAGAGATATAATAAATGATCACGTGGTTCAATTGAAATATTTCAATATTCATTAACAAGTGATTGGTATAATGACTGAAGTTGTGAAACTTGAACAATTTAAGGTGATTCGACAAAAACTTAAAGTAGTCAACACTACCACGATAAACTAGAGCTTAAGGGAGGAATTCAATTTATTTATGTTTTTAATTAAATAAAACTCATTTTTCTCCGGATTGAAATAGTCTTAGAGCTAGCTATTTTGTAATTGTGAGTAACCTACTTTATGACCATGCATTTAGGATCAATTTTTCGATTTTTTCATATAAAGGCTTATAAAAGCCATGTTGTTCTGATTTAATAAGGCAAAGTATTATTCTCCATACAAAAGTGTGTGTAAATTGTATTCTAAGTTTTAACAACACCAACTTGACTTTATATATCGTGTATAACTTTGCATGAATGTTTTTCATTATTATGTCCACTATATTGTCCGTTAATGTAACAATACAACAAATCTAAAAAAACAGAACAAGATAATAAACTTTCTAGAATACGTAAAATATCTTATAGGAAGAGGTTTTTTAGAATATTTCTACATGATATTTGTTTCAAAAAGAGCTTTTCAGAACACATTAAATATGTTTTGGAAAAACTTTTCAGAATATCTTTCCTTTTTTTTTTTGCATTTTCTCTCTTCTTTGCATGCAGCATGCTCCTATTTTTGTTCTTCCTCTGCACCAGCGTGACGATGACGGCAGCAGCCATAACTGTAGCATTAGTGACAGTGGTGAATAATGTTTGAATTGTTTCTTCTTATTGTTGTGGGTACAATTAGTAATCGTGGAGATGAACGCAATAGCCCAGCGTTTGTAATGTTAAGGCCCACGAATATTAAATGTATGTACGTTCTATCTACTTAATTGCTTTTCATTCTTTATATGACATGTAATGTTATTTTTACCTTAATTTTAAACTTTTTAGTTTACTTTTTATAATTTTATATTAGCTCGTACCTTTTTATTACATAATACTAAAATATATTTAATTATTATTTTTATTGTCACAATTTAGTAATTCATTCTAAATCAATCATTCGTATCGTCGTTCATCTGAGTCGGTCATCAAGACAAATCATCGACTCTAATACCATTGTTGGATCTATTGAGGAGGAGGTTGACCGAGGAGACACAATACTAATGAGATACGAGTCCAACTATATAATAGATTGACATCATTTTCTGTCTAAACCTTAAGGTAATGAGTTAATGAGTTTTTCACCTTTATATAGAGTTATACTCTCTCATTTCTATCAACTTGGACTCGCACTTAAATTCCCATTTTTAAAATTCCATATACATGAGTCTTGGAAATATTTTATTGACCACTTCAACCATTTGATTGACATTTGTTGACACATACTTTGAATTTGGAGAGAAAACAAGAAAAAGGAAAATAAAAATAATATTTTCTATTATTTGTCATTTGATTACTTTTCTACTATCTTGTCCTGTTTTTTTCCCTCGTGTATTTTCCCATCATTCTAAACAAAGAAAACACCCTTGTATTTTATATTTTTCGTGTTTTTCATGCTTGAAGTACATTCATTATGTTCATAAAATTTTAAAAAAATAATTTATAGTTCATTTTGTCTCTTTAGTCTATCAGATAATATGTTATTTGTAATATAATTTTTTTTTTCCATCAAATCGTGTACTTATAAATATCTTGCATAAATTTTAGCATACAGAATTACAATATAACAGTTTAGGAATTGAACTAATTTGGTAGAATTTAACTTTTTACTTAAATTTATTAGAAACTGTCAATTGATTATGAATGCATGTAAGCAAACTTTTACAACGGTATTAAGTTTATTCAAATGGAATTGAGTTTGATTTCCTTAGAAATTTTTTGAAGTGTAGTTAATAGAAAAATACATTTTTAAAAATCATCATTACAAATGTTAATGGAAAGTCAAAAAGTTATATTGTCTTTTTTTTTTAAGCTAATAGCTATCTCCCAATTATGACTAACATAAAAAATATTTTTTATATCTTATATTTTAAATTTTTTTTATGTTTGACTTAAGTCAAACGTAACTGTGAAGACATAAATTTGCATATGATAAAATATCGGATGTAAATTTATGATGCATACATAATAAAGGTAAATTTACGTCTTTTCATATATGATAATGTGTAATTTAGACCATTTCTATACACTAAAAGAATACACACTAAAAGTTTCATAATTTTGTAACTAGTATGTGTATCTCAAATAAATAAGTAAATCAAATAAATAAGTAAAGTATAGAAAATTGGTTAAAATAATATTACGAAAATAAAATAAAAAATATGGAAATGATTGAAATTTTTAAAATTCTGAAACTTCAATTTCCAATAATTTTTATTTTAAAAGTGTCTTTTTTTGATGTATAAATTAAAATTTATAACCATTTAAAATTTTTTAACCATTAAATTTTGACAATTCACATCGATTAAAGATAAAACTAATTTATAATATAAAAATTTTACTTTATAAACTGATTTTGTGGAGTTAAATTAGGCTTAAAGTTTACTATACATTTAAATATAATTTTCTATCTAGTTTTAGTAAATTTTACAAAATCAAAATTATATGGATAAATTAAAACAGTCGTACACAAGGGAGAAAATGAGAAAAACCAAAAACACAACTTTTAAACACACAGGCACACACAATACTTCTATTCATGTATTTGAGTTTTTGTTTCCACAGTGTAAAAAGTGAAGAAAAAATGAGGACAATATAA